GTGGTGCCTGATATGGGTTTGTGTGCATGTGGACAGGAAGAGATCCAAAAGGAGGACATGCTATAGGCATGCACGATGGTCTGTCAAAAGAGATCAACAGAGATAAGAGGAGAAAAACCAGGATAAGACCAGGAAGCAAATGGCAGTCAATGTGGCAGGAACATAGAGGGAATGAAAGTGAATCATATGGAGTAAGGTTGAAAGGGCCAAATGGAGTGAGACTGTAGAGAGTCTTCAATGTCAAGTTAAGGAGTCTTGTCTTTTGTCTTATAGATAATGTTACCTTGATAACGTGAGGAATGATTAGACCCATATATTAGGAAGACTGTTCTCCCTACTGAGTGATACATACATAGAAGCGGGGAAAAACTAGAAGCATGGAGACCAGCTATAAGGCAGCTATAAGCAGAGATGTTCCAAAGCAGGGGTTCTTAACCTGGGATTTGTGAACGTGTTTTTTGTAAAAATATGTGGAGAACTGTATTTCAATATAATTGGTTTCTTTCATAATCTTATGTATTTTATTTTATGCATTTAAAAATATGACTGAGAATGGGATCATAGCCTTCATAAGATTGCCAAAGAGGTCCAGGACACAAACAAGGCTAAGAACCCCTGTCATACTTACATGAACCGAGGTAAAGTGAAGTGAGCAGAACCAAGAGAACATTGTACACAGCAACAGCAATAGTGTAAGATGATCAAGTGTAAACGACTTAGCTATTCTCAGCCATATAATGGTCCAAGACAATACCAAAGGACTCATGATGAAAAATTCTATCCACCTCCAGAGAAAGAACTGATGGAGTCTGAATGTGGAGCAAAACACACTATTTTTCACTTTCGTTCTTTTTTTGGTTCAAGTTTTCTTCTACAAAATGACTAATTTGGAAATGTGTTTTACATGACTGCACATGTATAACCTCTATCAGACTGCTTACTGTCTCAGGGAGGGGTGGGGGAGGGAGGAAAGGAGAGAATTTTGACCTCAAACTTTTTAAAAAAGAAAGTTAAAATTGTTTTTACATCTAAGTAGGGAAAAAATAAAATATAATGTTTTAAAAAGAATCCTTATCACAGAGGCATTTGAAAATGGTACAGGAACTTAGGGAGAGAGGGAGGGATTGGATATATGGATCTGAGAGTCATTTGCATAGAGGTAATAATTTAAACCAGAGGTGTCAAGCAGCCCAGGGCTGCATGTGGCCCACAATACTCTTGAGTGTGGCCTGAACCACACTAAAATGTAATTGGGAAATATGTAATAAAATGAATAAAAATACAATAAAACATATAAAAATTAATATGTGGTTTTCGAAGTCAGTATGTGGCCCATAGGGATCCTTACATATGGGTTGATGGCTCTTGTTTCTATTTGAGTTTGACACCACTGATTTAAAAGCACGGGAGTAGATTATGCTGCCAACGGCTAGACTGTAGATAGAGAAGAGGACTGAGAAGAGACCCTTGGGGGGACATCCACACTTAGAGACCAGGACAAAAAAGATGAATTTGAAAAGAAGATGAATTGTGCAACCTGAGGTCAAAGGCAAAAAGACAGTTTCCATATATACCCAAGTATTTCTAGCAGCACTATTCCTGGTAATAAATTTTTTAAATCCCATCAGTAAACAAAGCATGTACCCATCAATTACAGATTGGATGAAGAAACTGAAGTATATGAATGCAATGAAATATTACTAAACCATTAAGAAATTACAAATATGAGGAATTCAAACTTATGAATGGATGGAAGAAACAACTAAGAGAATAATATGCTCAATGACTATAATAACGTACATGAAAACAGCATTATGAGATAGGTGATCACCTATCTCGGTAATGGAGAGGAGACCGTGAAAAATACTCCCCTCCTGCAGAATGTTATATACACTGTCAAATACAGCTACTATGTCAACTATGGTAATGAGGAGAATATCAGGAAAAAAACTGGTGTAAAGAACTTTAAAAAAAGAAAGGACAAAAAGTGGATATGGAATGAGAGTGATCAGTCACACAGAGGAAGTCTGAAGAGAGAGAAGGAAGGATTCCTAAAGTGGAGGAAGGACAGGGTATCCAGAAGTAGGCGGGCACCAGAGTTCAGTGCTACAGAAAGGTCAAGGGCAATGAAGTCAAAGCAATGGCCATTGGATTTGGCAACTGAGAAATCACTGGTGATAATGGATAAGTTGACAAAGGATATAAACAAAAAGCTCTTGAAAGATGAATTGCAAACTTTGAAAAGCGATATGAAATCTTGTTCTTAAGTCACTAATAAGAGAAATGGAAACCAAGATAATGGAAGTGTTACCTCATTCCCAACAAATTGGCAAAGATGATAGAAGATGGAAATAGTCAATGTTGGAGGGTCAGGAGAAGACAAACATATGAATTGGTAGGACTGTAGAGTAGTCTAAGTATTCAGGAAAACCATTTGGATTATACTAAGAAAGTGACTAATATTTTCACAACAAATTATCTAGAGGTCCCATTGAAAGGCAGAAAGACTGTATATGCCTTGAAATATTTATAGCAACATTTTTCTGTAGTAGCCAATAATTGAGAATAGAGTAGGATGGCCAAACAAATTGTAATACACAGATGTAATGGAATATTACTGTGCTGTAAGAAATAATGAATATTAGGAATTTAGAGAAATATGAGGTAATACAAAGTAAAATAAACAGAACCAGGAAAAATATACACAATGGTTTCAACATGTGAATGGAAAGAAGAACAAAATAATCAAAAGTGAATGGTTGGTCCCAAAGAAGAGACATGAGGATGTACTCACTTCCCTCCTTTAGCAGAGACTACGGGCACATGCAATACTGCATATAATGCTGAACTTGGGTGATATGTTGGTTAGTTTCGTTGAACTGTGTTTTCCCCTATTTTTAATTATTTCTTACTGGGGATGGTTCTCTAAGAGGGAGAAGGATGACACATCGGGCAATGCAGGTGATAGCAAAAACAGAAGATATCGATAAAATAAAGAAAAGAGGTATTACTAACTTCAGAGGGAACTGTTTTAGTACAGAGATGGGGATGAAAGCCAGATAGCAAGAGGCTGACTTGAGGAGCAAGTGGGTGGTAAGAAAGCAGCCCATGTAAAAACCACTCTTTCTAAAAGCTTGACAGAGAGGTGGAAGAAATATATGAAAGAGAGTTGAAGGGAATAGTGGTGTCAAGTGAAAGGTTTTAAGGGAGAAGCAAAGGAACCAGGAAACAGACACTGAATACCAGAGAGAGAGAAGGATGAATGGAAAAGGTCCAAGAGAAAGTGGGAGGAGATGGGATCTAGGGCAGAAGTGGAGGGATAAGCCTTAGCAAAGAATGCAACCTTCTCTTCTGAGATTGGAGCAAAGGAGGAATGAACAGTTGAAGACAGAAATGTTTTAAGATATAAAAGAAGGGATGGAGCTTACAGTGAATAAACTTAATCTCAATGAAATGAGGAAGAAAAGTCATCTCCTGAGAGAAATGGGAGCTTTAGGGTTAAAAGTTGATGGCTGGAGAGGAGAGAAAAATACTTAGAATAGCTGCTATGAATGTGTGACAGAGAGTAAGAAAAGAGTTAAAGAATGACTATGCAGCGGTGAGGGCTCATTTCAGATCATATTGACCTAGTCAGCATGGTCTTGGGCTTGGCATATGGGTAGTAAGAATGAAGAAAACAGATGTGGGAGATGACTGAGGTTTGAGGATTAGTAAAGTGTGAAATGGAAATGACAGGCTAGTAAAGAAGTCAAGGGTGGAAGAAAGCAAGTGTCTTGTTGAAACGGCTGGATACAATGTCAAAACTGTGAAGGAAAGGCAGTGAAGTTGGAATAGACGGGATGAACTAGGTCCTAGCAGAATAGGGGATGGATCATGGAACCAAATGGTTAATGTAAGTGAAATTCAAAAGAAGCGAGGTATATGACGAAGGGAAGAACAGGATATTGTGATCAAAGGGGGAATTAAGGTGTTTATGATGTTGGAGGCAGAACAGTTTCAGGTGATTGTGAGGTGTATAAAGTGAGAGGTGACTGGGAAGGTCATGCCAAGTTGTGGAGATGGAGTAATTCAGAGACCAGAATGTGTGAAAGGCCAACTGTAAGTACTAAAGTCACCAGAAACCTTGGTAGGCATCAGGGTAGAGAGATATACCAGTGAAGTCAACATCACAACAAAAATGGCCAAATAAGACTCCCCTATAAGGTTTAGACCACTTGTAAGGACGACCCCTCAATCCACAACCTTGGAACAGAACTATCTTACTAGTACTCATTTGTTTAAAAAAAAAAAGAAAGAAAGAAAGAAAACAAAACAAAACAAAAGAAAAAAGAAATGTGCCCAACACAAATAATATATTGTGGTTTCTCTTTCTCTCTCTGTCTCCCAATTAAATGTGCAGTAGCGTTAATGGAAATCTTTTTAGAATCTGTGGTAATTCTTCCTAAAACTTTTTATAGCATTGCAAAAAGAGGTTTCCCAACAACACTACCAACCTAGTTCTAGCATTGTGGTGCCTGGGGCAATGGTTTCTGGGATACTAGGCTAAATCAAAACATTCATGAAATCTTGTTTACTGCTGGGAGGGGGGGACGACACGACATGTTTTACAGATTACATTTTTTCTCTGGACTAAAATGCATTATGAACATTTTAAAATTGCATTTTATATGCTTCGTTGGTCACAATTTCTTGAGGTACTTCAGACAACCGATCAACAATATCTGAGTAATTCAAAAGTACTCACTAGTAGCCCGGTGGGTTGAAGGAGAAGCAGGGGTCATTTAGGGCATTTGTCTACCTTATTTCCCTCACAAAGCCACCCCCAGATATTCCTTCACCACTCTCAAGGAAGCTCAAGGCCTGACTCTGGCATTCAAGGTACTTCAAAAACTTGGCTTTGCTCTTCTCAGGGCAAAAATGGTGTGCCCCAACACCAACATTTCATTAAAAAGAAACAAGAAAGCTCTGAGACAGACAGACAGACAGACCAATCGCCTTACCTGTTGGACAGCATTCTTATTTCCCAGCGAACAGTCTGGTCCAGAGCAGACATACACGTTTGAAGGTAAGTCATTATAGGAGTCTCTGTCGATGCCTGAAGAATCTCTCATGTTGAAATAAAGGGCCCACAGAAGGTTTGGCTTTTCTACTTCTTCATTTTCTAAAAGCAAGACAAAATGTCTATGTAGTCACACGCTAAAGAGACAAAAGATCAACACATGTGATTTTCCAGAAGACTACAGGATTAGAGGCCGTCCAGTTTCAATCCCTTCATTTTACATATAGCAGCGAGGTGGTACAGGGGATAAGAGTGCTGGGCCTGAAGTCAGGAAGACCTCTGTATAGCTTTTAATCTCCTTCACAGCCTGGCTTGGCCAGCTAGGTGACCACAGTGGATAAAGTCCTGGGCCAGAAATCAGAAAGACTCATCTTCCTGAGTCCAAATCTGACCTCAGACACTTACTAGCTGTTGTGACTCTGAGAAAGTCACTTAACTTCTGTCTGCTTCAGTTTCCCCACCTTCAAAATGAGGGTAATAAAGGTTGTTGTGAAGAGCAAATGAGATAATATTTGTAAAGTGCTTAGCATGGTTCCCGGTACATAGTTAGGTGCTTAATAAATGCTTATTCCCTTTCCTCCTTCCTCCCCTCCCCCATTGTACAGGTGAGAAAACTGAGACCAATAATGGTTAAGTGACTTACCCAAGGTCACACAGGCACTAAGTGGAAGAGAAAGTATTCTAACCTAGGTCTTCTGATTTGAAACACAGGTTCTTTCCACTACAGAGCAGGGAGCCAATTGTTAAATTATCAGCTTAATTTAACTGTGAAAATATTTATAGCTAGAGGGCATTTTATACACACACACACACACACACATATTATATATATTTATACATATATCTGTGTGTATACGTGTGTGTATACATATGCTATTTTTCCTAAGCACCTACAACTTAAGATAGGAGCAATTATTTATAGATGGTCTAATAGTCTGCCAGTCAGCCAACAAGCATTTACTAAATATCTATTAAGTGCCAGGCACTGGGCTAAGTGTTACAGGGACACAAGGAAAGTAAAACAACAGTGTTGACTCTCAAGGGACTCATAGTCTAATAAGACACACAACACGCAAACAACTTTGTACAAACAAGATACACACACATGATAAACTGGAGAAAACCTCAGAGGGCAGGCATTGGGAAAGACTTGCAAAAGGTGAGATTTTAGCGGAGAATTGAAGGAAGCCAGGAGACTGAGATGAGGAGGGACAGAATTCCAGGTATAGAGGCCAGCGAGTAAAAAGACAGAGTTGGGAGATTAAGTATCTTGTTTGAGGAAAAGCAGAGGCCAGAGTTACTAGATTGTAGATTGCTTGGAGTAAGGAGATTGGGAAGGCAAAAAAGGGCCAAATAACAAAGAGTTTTAAAAGCCAAACAATTCAATCACAAAAGTGCTCCTTAAAGAAATAAAGAGCTTAAATAAAAATGATATTTCCAAAGTTAATTTACGCTTTATTTTTTTTACGCTAACCAAAGTTAATTTATGCTATGCCAACTGAATTACCAAGGGGATACTTAATCGGATTTGATAAAATAATAACAAAATTCATTTGGAGAAACAAAAGATGTAAAATATCAAAAGAAATGTTGAAAAGACCTAGGCAAGAAGGGAAAATAATACTTTCAGACCTCAAACTATATTATAAGGCAGCAGTCCTCAAAACCATCTGGTTATTGGTTAAAAAATCAAGAAGTAGATCAATGGAATATACCAAACAAGGGAAAATCAGAAACAATGGAACTCAATAATCTAGTGTTTAACAAACTAGAAAACATAAATTAATTAGGAAAAAAATCCTTATTTGATGAAAACTGCTGGGAAAACTGGAAAGCAATTTGGCAGAAATTAGACTTAGAACAATACCTTACATCAATCAATCAATAAACATTTAATAAGTGCCCACTATGTACCAGGCACTGTACTAAACACCATATTCTACAATACATTCTAAATGGATACACAACTTCAATATTAAAGATCATACTATAAAAAATTATAAGAGAATCAGATCTATACCTCTCACAGCTATGGCTAAGAGATGTATTCTTAACCAAACAAGGAATAGGAGCAATTACAAAAGATAAAATAGACAACTTAGATTACATGAAAGTGAAAAGCTTCTGCACAGACAAAATTAATGCACCTAAGAAAAGAAGGGAAGTGATCGAATACAAAAAAGTCTTTGTATCAAATTTCTCTGATAAGAGTATCGCATCTAAGATATATAAATAATTTATACACACATATATTAATAAATGCCACTTCTCCAATAGATATACGGTCAAAGGATATGAATAAACAGTTCTCAAAAATACTCACAACCACATGAAAGAATGCTCCAAATCACTAATAATAAGAGAAATACAAATCAAAAAAATGTAGAGGTTCCATATCATACTGTGCAAATTGGTGAAAATGACAAAAAATGGCAACAGTTAATTTCGAGGAGTTGTGGAATAACAGGAAAACTAAATACATTGTTGGGAGAGCTGTGAATTGGTCCAACCATTTTAGGAAGTAATTTGAAGTTATACCAATAAAATGACTAAAATGTCCATACTTTTTAAGCAGATCCTATTACTGAGTTTATACCCCAAGGAAGAAACTGAGAAAAAAGTCCCCTATATATGCCAACATATTTCTAGAAGGACTTTTTGTGATGGCAAAGAAATGGAAACAAAGTTGATGCCCACCAACTGGGAAATGGCTCAACAAATGGTGGTACATGAATGTAATGGAGTATTATTGTGCTGTAAGAAATGATGAAAATGATGATTACAGAGAACTGTGCAAAGATCCCTATGAACTGATGAAGATTAAAGTAAGCAAAGCCAAGAAAATAATATACACAATGACTACAACAATGCGCATGGAAAGAATGACACACCAAAAAATCAAAAATGAATGTGATAAAATTGTTTTAAGAAATTGCCACGGGAACAGCTATGTGTGCAGTGAATAGAGCACTGATGGAGTCAGAAGGACCTGAGTTCAAATCTAGCCTCAGATACTTACTAGCTGTGTGACCCTGGGCAAGTCACTTAACCCTAATTGCCTCAAAAAAATTTAAAAATAAAGAAATTGCCTCAGCCATCCCAACTTTCCGTAACCACCACCCTCATCAGTCAGCAACCATCAACATAGAGGCAAGATACTTTACCAGCAAAAAGATTATGATTTGCTGAAGGTGCAGATGATGGTTAGCATTTTTTTTAGCAATAAAATATTTTTAAATTACGGTACATATATTGCTTTTTTAGATAAAATACCATTGCACACTTAATTGACTATAGGAAAGTATAAACATACCTTTAAATGCACTGGGAAACCAAAAAATTCGTGTGACTTGTTGTATTGCAATATTCACTTTATTGTGATGTGGAACTGAACCCACAATATCTCCAACGTATGCCCAGATTTCAGTTCACGGGGAGCTGCTAATCTACTCACAGTATATATAGACACACACATGCCATCATCTGCTAACTTTCAATTAATCACAAAATTTAATTATTCTAACAGCCCATTCCCCAACAATTCTGGAGAGATGAGAGTGGCAATTTTTAACAATAATTTCAATTAAAATGGCATAGTCTGTTTCTCTACTCAAACCAACTTAATATTTACTTGTTGCCAGCACAGAAAATAGGACTACAAAAGCTACTTCCAAAGAGACCAGGAAGTTAGCTTCCTGGTGTATAAAAATAAAAAAACACAAACAAAAAACCCTGCAAAACTATGGAATTAGTCTGTGTTCCAGTTAACCATTATCTGGTCAAAACTAGAGTTTTCCCAAGGGTTTCTATCATTTCTTCCCTTCGTAGCTAAAATCTTTTTCATCAATGTGAAATACAATGATGTAAAATATATTTTACCAAGCAATGATGTTTTTTGTTTTTTGTTTTGGCTAGGCAATGTGGTTAAGTGACTTGCCCAGGATCACACAGCTAGTGTCAAGGCCGGATTTGAACTCAGGTCCTACTGACTCCGGGGCTGATACTCTATCCACTGCACCACCTAGCTGCCCCTCAAGCAATGATGTTTTTAGCTAGGAAGTTGGTGAAACAAATGAAGTTGATACCAAATGTCAGATGCAGAGAGGGAGCAGATGATGTTGTCACAGTAAAAGTAAATCTGTCAAGCACTAAGACATAATACTAAAGAAAAAAAGGGCTTTGGATTTTGTTGTGGACCTTGATTTCCTGGGTAGAATAGACTGTTGGCCCTACCAAATAGAACCAAAGAGGTTCTTCACTTTTAAAATCTACGCTAATGCTCTAACAAGGGGGCCTAGAAGAGTTAATACCATTTTCTCACGGGCAACAATTGGTCCCTTAAGCTTAGACTATATAATTCTTCTTTGGTTCAGAAGGTAAAGCTAAGTTTAATTCCTTGATGTCTTATAGGAACCTAGGTGTGTGGTTTGGGCTGCTTGTACTTTTGCTCCCCAAACTTACCAATAGTGAGCAATTGATCACTTTTTGATAATTTCAATCTAACATAATAGCTGACAGGTCTAGCATAGATTGAGATCAATACTTCAGAAAACTGAAGTTCCATTTTCAATAATTGAAATATTAAGGGGAGAGTAGACAGGGAAGGGAATAAGCATTTATATAGTGCCTGCTCAGTTGAGAAAACTGAGGAAAACAGAGGTGAAGTGACTTACCGCAGGTCACACAGCTAGTAAATGTCTGAGGCAGGATTTGAAATCAGGCCTATTACTCTATCCACTGTGCTACCTAACTGACCGTGGATGTATGAGAGATAGCATGACCTCATGAATGTATGTGAGAGATATTGTGGAGGGAGAATTAACAAGATTTGGCAACTGGCTGGAGATATGAACTTGAGTAACAGAGACGATAGTGAAACCCTGAACAGAAATAGGGAACTTTTGAAAATGGCTGTGTTGGGGGTGGGGTACGGCACGTGAAGTCAGGAGAGGGAATGAGTCCCATTTTGGACACTCTGAATTTGAAATGCCTACAGGACATCTAAGAGGAGGTAGCCAGGAAGTAGTCCGAGATGTGTGAGTAGCCTCCAGGAGAAAGGTTAGGGCAGGATATATAAAAATGGGAGCCATCTGCATAGAGATGACACCTTACACCAAATCAACCAGGTTGGATAGCAAAGGCGACCTTACGGGTATTTTTATGGCAAGTGGTCAAGTAATTATTATACTTAGGAGAAGGTTATTGTTTTCTACAAAAAATACATGGTCTGGCAATGTGACAGTGCTGACCTAACACATGCGCTTCTAAAATCCTACAGCTTGAAACAAAAAATAACATTGGTTAAAAAAAAAAAATCTGTTCCTTTAGCAGTTATTTTGAAATAATTCCAGAGTTTTAGCAAAAAAATTTCAGGCAAATAATTTTTAAAATACAGATCAAATTCATCAATCTGTGACAACAAAATTTTCTCTGCAGAGAACAGTGTATTTTAATGGATTAAAAGTTCTTCTTCCTTAGAAAGTTCCTTCTTCCTCATTTAGGCAGGAAAATGAATCGAGTCCCCTTCTCCAGGTGACTTTGCCTCTTTGACCTGCCATGGCCCAGTGCTCACTTTATCTGGTGATTCATTTTCAAGAACTCCAACAGTATTTGTTCTGACATTTTAATTAAAATACGACCACTACCTCATCCTGATGATAAAAAGGCCCATGTGTCAGTGAAAACTAGCTTTTCAGTGCCTCGGTGCACCTGAGGACCCTTCTGATCTCAGAGTTCTTACTAAAGAATTTCAGTTGGGTTCTAAACAATACATCATTTCAAAATGGGATCACTTTAAACATTAAGATGAATGTTTTTTTGTTTTTTTTTAATGGCTAGATGTTAAGTAATGAACGTGCATTTTTTCCCCAAGCTGATTTTTACAAATAACTACAAAATGTATTTTTTTATAAAAGAATCTCTAAATGGTAGCTTCAGGGGCAGTGTGCTCGTTAGCTGCGGGTATCGGCTATAGTAGCAAGCCTCACTGGAATGAGCATGCAGGAAAAAGAATGAGCAAAGCTTCAGGTATCACAGACAAAGTTTGGAGTTTATGTCAGCAAATTATGGATTTGATTAAAGCCAAAGGCTGAAAACATGACTCTGTATTTGAATTAGAATAATATTTTAGTAGAATTTATGGTAACTTCATAATCAACAGTTGTAATAGCAATCACAAATATTTATGAAGCTTAAAATGGAGAAAATCTTGATATTTAGTAAAAACCAAGTTAAATATCAACTCACGGCAAAACATACTTTCAGATTAGAGAACTTTACTCAAGAAGTACAAAATGAAGTGAGTTAGGCACATTAGCATTAGCATCTGAGAATGAAGCAATCTGTATTCTCTTATGTAAACCTATAAGCCCATCTCTGCTCCTCTGCATTAAGACCGAAAAAACAACACATGTGGTAAGAGGGTAAGAAAGAGATTGTAATAGGAGAGAGCGGGACACAGGCCATGAGGACAGACATTACCAACCAAAGGAAATAAAGAACTGGAAATCAACTTGAGGAAACAGGATTCAAATGTATACCCCTGGACAGAAAATCGCCATGCATTCGAAGGAAATACGGATTCAAAGGGCCATTTCTGTGTCTGAACATAAAAAATAAACAGACTCAATTTGCTTGAGTTGCCCTCTTGTGGCCAAACCTTGATAATGCAAAGATGATTTTTCTCCCCCCCCCCGCCCCCCCATATGATTTTTCAATAGGATTGTTACATTAAAAAGAAAAAAAAAATGTCCAAGTGATGCACACTGTGAGGGCCCTGGATGATTTGGAAGGACTACTACACATTTCATCTGTTACACCAATAATATATATATATATTTTTTCCCTTCACTCAATTGATAAGTGCCCCATCTCAACCATTCTAATACAGTGCTTACAAAACGTGGCACAGTGCATTTCAGGAGACAACGAAAAGGAAAAATCAGATACCAAGTTAAACTCTCTTTCTATCAAGAACGGCCAGAATATTCTTACCCAATTCTGCCTCGGCATACGGCACGAACAATTTCTGCACAACTGACTCTAAATCTTCTCTTGCTGTTTTTTTTGAGGATGGACAAGTCAAATGGACAAGATCTGTTCAAATGCAGGAGGAAAGGGAAACGGAGAGAAAAAAATGAGGTTAGTATATTTTGATTCCCTGCTTGTATACCTCAAAAGTGCAGCAACCTGGTTTTCTCTGACACAGGGATATAAGCACTTAAATATTCCAAGCTCGGGTTTTGTAATGGGATCCCTCATATTCAGTGAACAAGTTTATTTTTTCAAAGCAGATTTCTGAATTCAAAATTACAATAAAGCATTACCATTTCAGGCTCCATTAATTTAGAATTTGCCAGATTTATTATATTATACACTATTTATGAAAGTGATTTTGTTTTACTAAATAAACTATAGAAGAGACTAAGATTTTAATTATTTAGAACAAATTTTTCAAGTACTCTAGAAAAACCCAAGTACACACGAACCATCAATATGCAAATAACACATTATGGATTTATTCAACCGTATCCACAACGACTTCTATTTAATAATATATTTTGTTGGCTTAGTTTGAATAACTTGATGCACTTGATAACAAACATATATGAGTTAAAAATAGTCCATAATCCAGACTATTCATTAGATAAAACTCTCCTCTTCAATGATTTCAAATGAATGAGGTTTTACTCTAATTGGTTTTTATGAAATCTGAAGCCTTGACTTGAAAGCTTGGGTTTTTCAGGCTAAAGAACATCACATATTTAAAGAAGACACTTCTTGGCAAAGTACAATAATGCTCAAGAAAGAGGACGGGTCCAACATTCAATTCAGCAAGTTTGTTAAGCGTCCGTTACAGCAAAGACATGCTGGAGATGCAAAGACAGAAAAAAAAAAAAAAAAAAAAACTGTAGAAAATATCAGAGCGAGGAGATCCGTAGATGTAGGTAAGGATTTGAGGTGACAGTAAGATGGTGGCAGAAGGGAGATCCTAGAGTCGAGAAGCACATCAATACCAATTCCAACAGCATTACATCGAGGATGGTCCATTTTTCTGGCACCCTCAGCTGCCAAATCCCCATTCTTGTCCAAAGTTATTTCAATCTACTGAGGAGAATTCCCTCCACTGCCCAAATGCCTTTCCAATTTTGTAATGGAAATCAATGTGAGAAAGGATGTAGGGTTATAAGAATTCATTTCACAAATAATTTAGCTGTAAAGTATTTTTTAATGGCAGATACTCAATATTTATGCTCATTACACTTAGCTTTCCTAGCTCTTTATCTTTGTGCTGATTTGTCGCAAAAGTCCCAAATCCTAAGTCTCTGTGAAGACTCATGTTACTGAAGCACAATTTGTCATGCTTAGGAAAATACTGCAGTGATTCCTAGCTCAAGTTTTAGAACACGCTAGGAAAATTATTAGTTGTCCAAAGGTCACTTCAATAATTCTCACATTCAATTTAATTTTATTTCACTGAGATAAAAACAGACGGGACAACTTTTTCAGGGAGAGAAAAGGAACAAAGGTCAAGATCAAAGAGGGTCTTACAAGTCTAAAGAATGAAATAATTGTTGGCATATTATAATTTCACTATACTAGTTTATCTCTCTATTTTGTAGAAGTACTCAACCACTTGGTAACATGTCCTGTCCATCTTAAAAAAAAAAAGTCTACATTTCTTCATAGAGTAATTTTTTTCGTGGTGGTGATAGCAGGTGGGGTCCAACCAAAAAATACCTAGTGGATATTTTAAGATCAATCAACAAGCATTTTGTAAGATTCTATGTGCCAGGCACAGTCCTAGGCACTGGGGATGTAAAGGTGAAACCTAAAATGTCCCTGCCTCTGAGGAGCTTTGTTTTTATTAGGGAGAAACAACATGCCCACATATATAAATAAGCACATACAAAATCATCACAAAGTAAATATAAGGGACTTTTTTTTTTTTTTGCAGAGGATGAAAGGCTGGAGATCAGGAAGTGCCTCACGTAGGGGATAACACTTTAGCTGACCTCTGAAGGAAACTGGGACTTCTAAGACATAGAAGGGATGAAGGAGTGCATTTCAGGTATCGAGGACAGCCAATGCAAAGGCAAAGAGACTGGAAATGAAATGGCAAGTAGGCCAGTAGGATAGGACTATAGAGTACAACAAGGGGAATGATGTGTAATAAGAGGAAACACCAAGTCTTCTGTCCGCAGTCTCAATTTTCCAGTTCCTTCCTATTCAATTAAACCTGACTACATTATTAAAAGTCTAACCATTCATGGGAAATTCAGAGGATTAACATGAATTCACATGAGTATTTTAATAACTTGAATGTATTTTTGAAAAATCTCCTACAGGCTATAATATTAGCTCTCCTAATAGGAACTCTCTTTCCCTCTCTCTCTCTATCTGTCTTTCCCCTCCATATCTCTTTCTCTCCTCTAGTTTTCTTCCTCTCCTTTATTTCTCTCTCTTTCTCTGTCCCTCTCTCCCTCCTCTTTCTCTCTCCTCCATATCTCTTTCTCTCTCTTTTATTTCTCTCTTTCTCCCCCCCATTTCTCTTTCTCTCTCTCCTCCATTTCTCCCCCTACTCTTTCATATCTCTCTCCTCTATTTCGCTGTGTGTCTCTCCACACTCTCTTTTTCTCTCTCCTCCACATATATTATATAAACATCCACATGATTTACACAGTTCCACACGTCCTATCTACAGAAATACAGAGCAATTTCATCCTCCGTTTGAAGCTGGATATATGGACTCACTTTTTCCTCCTTTTGAACCTGTGGCAATTTCCTTTTCTTGTTACCCAAGTTGCCTCCTTGCCTCCTTCTCATCTTTTTCTCTAGTTCTCCTTGAATGACAGCTGGCCCTAAGCCGCATTCTTCTTTTATTCCCAATATTTCTCTAACGGTTGCTTAGGCTCCCTCCCTGCTAAGAGGCCGGCTGCCCAGGCCAGCTTTGTGCCTCTGCCCATACCACAGCAGGTGCTCCTTGGCCATGGATAAAACCATGGCTTAGCCAAAGATTTCCATAATGCCTGGCAATAATCTCCTGTGTCTCATTGAACATGTTAGCAGCAACACTCAATTACTCAAGCTGCATCTCCAGGGGCTGGAAAATATACACTAACAGAAAATCCTTGAAATAATTTCTATTTGCTGTGATAATATAGTTATAGTCATATTCAGACACACAGATATCACCAGGAAGAGATTTCTCGGCCGCCATAGAAAATCTGCAAAGTTAATAACCTACTTATTTAAACCCAGGCTCCCTTCGGGTTCTAATATGCTACTTTACAATAGCATGATTGTCTCTATACCTCTTCAAAAATAATTTCTTCCTGTAAATTCATTTCAAATCCAGTAAGGACTTATCCAAGGCTGAAAAAAAAAAAAAACCATGCTTCAGAGGCTATGCCTTCCCACTCGCTCAAACATCCCCTTCTTTTTTGCTCAGGCTTTTTGTTCTTCTGCATTGTACCTAACATTTACTTTGCTCAATAAAGGCTCAACAACCACCAACAGGCTGGGGAAAAGTACACTTTTCCCTAATGATGACATTTCATTAGTATCAATAATGACAATTACTACCATGTGAATCCAGTAGAATCAGTAACTATGGAAACCTTTCTCCCTGGCCTCACATGAGAGTATAAAAGGCTTGAGGGTCCATTAAAAAACCCAAGCTCTTTTGTACACGTTGCTCCTTCTACCTCATCTGGTAACTTTTGTTCAAAGGTTTAATGGATTCGAAAATTACAAAATGAGTTTCCTGTTAGTGGTCTTTTGTCTCCAATGGTGCTAGTGTATCTACCCATGGTGGATATGTATAGGCAACAGAGAAACGCTGAAAGGGAAAAGCCTTAATTCACAGAGTGCACAAGTGATACTTGAATCCACATAAGGACCAGGGAGCCAACAACATTCAGACAAGTGAATGAACGACTCTGAAGTGACAGTGATGAAAACATCAAAAATCTTCAAGGCAGAAGCTATTCAACACGAAACCGAGGGCAAAAGCAGTGCGTTAACTCTCTAACAACAGAATGGGAACGCTGGTGGCCCATGTCATTAAGTTATCTTCCTATTCAAAGTCTTAATACAGTAAGAGTGTTTCTGCTTAAAATGAACAGGGTTAACAAATAAATGCATGATTTCAAACTACTCCCTTAAATGCAAGTCTTTCTATGATGAAATTTCTCAAACTTCTGCAAATCCTTTGAATTCTGGAAAAGTCTGGGGATCTCTTTTTCAAGATTCTAACACTACTTGCTACTGAAACAACATAGATACAAATAGACCAGCCTTTCTGAAAAACAGTGAAATTACCTGTTTATGTGCTAGACAAATGGATTTTGCTTTCTAACTCTGGGCAATGTTGCTCAGTATAAAGGAACTTGCTTACCAAAAAATGGATACGCCTAGCAATTTCTTTATGAACTACAGACTGCACAGCACAAGTCTGGATGTATGCAAGAGCTACAGCCTTGCTAGTGCTAAGAGACCAAGAATGGCATGTGAAGCAGGTACATTGTAACATTCAAGCACACAGTGGGCACTGTTGGCTTCTCTGATGAGAACAATGGAACGTTCAAGTCAGCTTGTAGATTCCCTAAAGAATTTAGAAAGCAATACAAAAAGTCAACTTAAGAACATAAGCTCGAGTATTTACTTTAGAAAATCAATTCTCTGCTTTATAACAGCATTAAGAATAAAGGAATTCATTTACAGAATCAGGCAAAGGTCAACAAAATCTAAAAAACCTGAAAAGCCAATTGCCACAATTCTCTAATTGTACATTGATGAAGTATGCAGAGTATTTTCTGAGGTCAGACAACAAGATAATTCAAGGATCTGATTTTGTCCTTCGATTCAAAACACACTGATTTTGAGAGTTGTTAAGTACTCCTTCTGCTAACCACGACCCCAGTCCCTCTAACTGGAGGAAAGAGAACCTTTGATATCATAATATGAAATTGGATAATATTAAATGTAAGAGGGATAGATATAAACTTTAAGACTTGTATTTAAAAAAACAATAACTTCATAAGTACAGGTGAAGCATGTCTAGACAAGCTGTTTCTCTAAAAAAGAACCAAGAA